GAGGTGCGCGAGGTCTGTGGCCAACGCAAGCCCGGTGGTGGAGTGTCTCTGGGGCCAGGCCCCGCGACAAGTCGCATCCATCAGTCATTCCTGGGCCTGATTAGATAGATCTTGCCCTCAGAGAGGAGCTGGCTGTGTAGACGATTCATCGCCGTCTGTTCTCTGCCCAGCTTAATCTCTAAGTACCAACTCTCCAGATATCCCTTTGCGGAATGGCCTCTTTTTCGCTGCAAATCTGAGGTTGGCCCTATCCGATCACCTAAGGGAAACTGATGGAAAGGGCAGGAGAACCGAGAGGGGGGACGGGGAGGAGGAGGGCAGCGTCCTTCCCTGCAGGAAGGTGGCACACTCCGGGCTCCCGCGTCGTGGGCCCGGCCTTTTATTTAGGACAGTTGGGTGCCGGCCACTTACATCTCCTCCTCCAGAACCAGGCCCTGCGTCATCTGCCCTCCCACTGATCTCCAGCCCCGTCCTCCTTGGCAGTGTTCACCACACTTCCGGTTCCTCGATGACCCATCGTCCCACTCCCTGGACAGGACGCCGGTCCACGCTGTGCTCCACTTGATCATCGGGGCCTAGCACAGGCCTGACCTGGTTGGTATTTATTACACAGACATGAGTGGATGGATGCGGGGAATACGTGTGTCTTCGGGAGCACGTTAACCATCATGGGGTATGGGACGAATGGGGTGGTCTGAGCAGAATCCGCCAAGGGTTGCAAACTGGGGACCAGCAGGTGCCCTGCCTGCGTGCCTTATTTTGGACAGTATAGTGCCAACGAGCCACCACAGGGAGGCCAGCTGCCCTGGAGGGCTGCCCAGGCTCAGAGCAGACAGTGTGTTGGAGAGAATACTCCATGTGCTGTGTTAAGCCATGAAGATGTTGGGGATTTTTGTCACTGCAGCATAACCTAGCCATCCTGACTGATACACCAGCTTCCCATGAACAACGGCAGACCTGGCCCCACTGGGCATCGCTGGCCAAGGCTGTGACAAGTCTACGAGTCGTCCCCTCTACACGCTCTCCCACTTCTGCTCACCTGTTTCCCACCGGACTCTCGTGGGGGCTTAAATTTGGGGTGGTGTCTTGGTGTGCTAGGGTAGCCAAAACAAAGTAGCATAGACAGAGTGGCTTAAACAACTGAAACGGATTGTCTCTCTGTCCTGAAGGCCAGAAGCAGCCCGAGATCCAGGTGTCGGCCAGGTGGTCCCTTCCAAGGGCCGTGAGGGGGGGCCCCGCTCTAGGCTTTGCCCTCCGCCTCGCAGCTGGCCGTCTCCCCTACGAGTTCCCACACAGTCTTTCCTCTGTATCTGCCCGGGTCCCCTTTTTTTTAAGGATGTCAGTCATATGGGATTAGGACCCACCCTCCTCCAGTGTGACCTCATCTTAATGACATCTGCAACGACCCTGTTCCCAAACGAGGTCACACTCCGGGGCCCTGGGGTGTCAGGACCTAGATGTATGAATTTTGGGGGTATCCAGTCTATGACAGATGGCCGCCTAGAGGAGGGGCCGTGGGAGCTGGGTCAGGAGAGCAGGGCTGGACAGGGGAGTGCGAGGGGCGATATTTTGTTTCTAGCAGGCCAGTTCTAGAAGGTTCTTGAGAGACTCCCTGAGGCTACGGAAGATGCGTGAGTGCATCGGGGGGTGGGGGGCTGCCTCCCACTCATCTGCAGGTGGAGACAGACCAAGACACGCAGAGCAAGTGGAGGGCTGCAGGAAGGGGGGCCTGTCGGTTTGATCTTCGCAGGTTTGTTTTTGACTTTATGCTGACTCTCGAAATGCGATTGACGTGGGGGTGGGGGCGGGAGAGAGGCAGAAAGGAGAGGGAAGATTTCAAAGCTATAGCCATGGGAAATGTTTTTATTTTCTGCTTGAAAGAAAATGCCAAGGAAAGATTAATGCCTGTGTAAGTACACCCGAAAGAGAGAGACGTAGAGAGTGTGGGAGGGAGGGAGGGAGGGAGGGAGGGAGAGAGAGAGGGAGGGAGGCACATCCTGGGAGCTTCTGGGTGTGGGAAGCTCCTAGACCTGAGAAGTGAGAAGGGGTAGGCCCTGTCCTCCCCTCCCTTGTCCCCTCGAGATGCCACCACAGGCCCTGGAGCACTAACGGGGAGCACCGAAGGTAGAGGGCTGGGCAGAAACCCGTCTGGCTTGCTTGCTGCCATTCAGGCCTGGTGACTTTAGGAAGGTCACCCACTTCTGTGGGTCGCAGGGCCCCTTCTGACAAGTGTGTGTACAACAGGCACAGATGCACGGGGCAGAACTTGTGTACGAGTAGCACAAAGAATAGAGAGGAACACCAGAGATTGGGGGTGTATGCGTGTGTGCGAGTGGGTGCACGTGAGAGGACCAGAGGAAGACGGGAAATGGGGTTCTCCAGGTGTGCCCTAAGGGGGGTGGATGTCAGGTACGGGAGCCCCTGTGTGGGCTCCTGGGCAGGCCTCCTGAACTCCTGACCACGGCCTCCTCCTGCCAGGAATGCGCCCTCGGTCAGCCTGACCCTCACCCGGCCACAGGCCAAATGGACTCCCATTGACCTCTGACCTCTGTCACCTCCCCCAGGCTAGGACAGGAGAGAGGCCCCTGTAGAAGGTGGAGGATGGGAAAGGCAGTAAAAGGGGTGGCAGGGTGGAGGGGGCGTTTAGCGCTGGGCCAGTTCCCTTCTCTAGGCTAGTCTGGGTTGGGCTGGGTGCTCTTGGGGGTGTTGGGGCTCTATGTCCACATCCCCAGCACCCCGCCTGGCCTAGGTGAGGGTGCTTGCTGCCACTCCTTAGCTGTGTGTGTCCACCTCAGCTTTCTCCTCTGCGGAACGGTAGGACGGCATCAAAGTCAGCCTCCTCGAAGCCGCCTGGAAGCAGGGGCCTTGCACAAAAGGGATTTTCAGACTGTAAAAGAGAAAACTGGGAGGATTCCGCTCAGAAGGGGGTGGGACGGCCGGGATTGGCGGGGGCCCTGTGGGTCAGGGCAGTGGGAAGGGCCGGGGAGCCTCTGGGGGGGCCAGGCTGGCGGTGGAATTTGCTCAGAACTCTCAGCATGCACAGGCCTGCCAGGCAGGGCACTGACTCCCCACTTCGGTGCAGGGCCCCTCCCCCACCAGCACACCCCTCCCCCAACACACGTGCTGCCAAACCCTCCATTAGTCACCCTGGCACTGACATACATAAATCCCATTAGTCACACCCGCACAAACTCGCCTGCAGAACACACCCAGGCACACCCAGACAAAGAAGTTGGCCCCCAAAGAGGCCTTGTTTGTCTTTCGCGCCTCTTCCCCAGTGCCTAGAACAGTGCAGGCGTTCAATGAACACACGGTCAGCCTCCCCCAAAGCAGCCATCTCCCAAAATAACAGCCCCCACAACTGGGGATTGACGGCCCCCCAATAAGCAGAGACCCCCTCCAGACACTCCAAACCTCCCGTCTTCTCTGGGCACACAAGTACCAGAACCAACGCCCAGGAACGCCCTTGGCCAGCCCCTCCTCTGCCTCCCTCTGGAGGGGGCACAGCTGGCATCCTGGCCCCCTCCCCGTGCCTGTCCTCCAACGGGTCTAGTAGGAAAACCATTCTCCAAGGTCAGTGAAGTGCTTCAGCAGGCGGCCCTGGAGCTGATTTATTGGCGGTTTACTTGGAGAAATGCTATCGCTTAGATTGGGGGGGTGCGGGGGGAACACGCGCGGTGGACTTTAACCTTGGCCTGAAACCGCAGGCCTTTGTTTTTGGAGGGCTTCCTGGGGCGCCGCAGTGGGGCTGGGCCGGTGGGGGAGGCACAGCTGGAATGTAGTTCTGCCGCCTTTCAATTCCCAGGCTGCACTACCGCTGCCTGCAGGGCGAGCGCTCAAAATCTGGGGGGCTGGCTGGAAGGCCTCTGTCCCTCTGAATGTGCTTCTACAAATTCTAAGAAGGAGCCAAAGCTCCCAGAGTGAGCTTCATATTTTGGAGCGAGGTTCCAAACCCTCCGCCTCCCCACCCGTGTCACTGGCACAGTGAGGTCTTAAGGAGGCACCCAGGAGTGGGAGACTGCCTCCCTCTTCCGAGGCTATTCCCACCCGAAGTCTTGAGCAAAGACTTGAGAGGTGGTGGTCCCCGATCACTGCGTATGGCCTGCTTGGCTGACGCAGGACACCAGTGCCCAGGCCCGTTCCCCAGCCTCTCTGGCAAAGACAGTACTGGTGACATTAAGCTTTATTATTGCAAATACACCCTCTCTGGGCACCCGTAGACTGTTCAGGTAGAAAGCGCTGCCACACCTACCAGGGTGCCAACAACGCGCCCCAATGATTCCTGCTTTCCCAGTGGTTCGGCTATTTGCACCAAAGCCGGCAGCGCCACGAGGGCAGGGAGCCAGGGCCCGGCTGTGCAAAGCCCAGGGTATTTCCGTCATGGAGGGGAAGATGGGCTGGCACAGGGTGGGGAACAAGATGAGCATCCTCGCTTCAAGCGTGGCACCTGCAAACACCCTGCTTGGTCCTCGCCTGGAAAAATAAAAAGCCTCCTCCTCGCCTCCTGCGCGTAGAGGACTCCAAGGACGGAATGATGGCGTGGGATGAAAGCAGGGTATGCAGAGACGGGTGGCAGGCGGAGTTCTGAGAAGACGCTCTGACCCTGACCCCGGCGTCGCCCCTCGATGGTGCAGGTGGTGCGGGAGTTGGGCTCAAGCGGGTGTCTGTGCCCCTACCCCAGCCTCACCGAGCATTCCTAGGAGTAAGTGCCAGCCCAGCACCCTGACCCCAGGCGGCGATCCGGTGAGGCCCAGGCCGCCTCTGGGTCTGGCGACCCCGAGGATGGATGTGGTGGCACCACCGACTAGGCGAGGCTGTTTCCTCTCTTCTGCGAAAGGGGAAGCGCCTGGCTTGATTCCCCGTGCAGTCTCGGGGCCTCAGGCCGTGACCGGGAGATCAGGGCGCACGGCACGGCCCGGGACGGGAGGCCGGCTGGGAGTCCACGCGAGGGAGCAACGGGAAGGAGGACCCATACGGAGATTTACGGCCGCAGCCGGCCCCCTGCGCACTGAGCGCATCTCGGTCCTCTCCCAGCCAAATAGTGGAGTGGAAGACCCAACCCGGGCCGGGGAAGAAGCCAGGGCCGGAGGCGGGGCTGAGAGGCGCAGGGATCCGCTGGGACTGGGCCTGGAGCTCCAGCCCCAGCTCTGTCGGCCGTGCGCCCTGGTGCCAGCGGCGTGCGGGGCTCTAGCGCCGCGTCCCTGGTTTTCCTGGCGGGTCGGGGCCGCTCTGGCTGGGCTAGTGGAACCTCGGCTCCACGCCAAATCGTGGCCGGCCCAGTCGCAGCACGGGAATGGGCAAGTGCGGCTTTCCTGGGCTCGACCTCTCCGGGTTTTGGCGGCGCCCGAGTCGGGAGCTCCCTGGTTGCCGGACTTGGGACCTGGATGTTGGCGCTGAAAAGACGGTGGCCAGAGCGCCCCGAGCGGGCAGCAGAGGCCGGCGAACGCCGGGTCCCTTCACGGAGAGCCTGGTGGAGCGCGGATTCTTAGGTCTCCGCCGGGAAAAGCGGTTCCGGGCCACGGGTGGAGGTGGCTCGGGTGTCCTCGCCTGGGAAAGGATGCATTTTTTTTTTCCCCCTGGGGAAGGAGTAAGGGAAGAACGTGCCCACGAAGCCAGGAACCCTAGGGTTGCGGGAAGCGCCGGGTCTGGCCCTGAACAGGGGGGCTAAGCCAGCTGGACAAAGGCGCGGCCGGCTAGAGCCGGGCTCAAGGTTGTCCTGTCCTTTGGTTTTAAAACAAAGAGCAAGAATTTTGTCAGTTGGGCTGCCTGGGAACATACAAAAGGCCTCGGCTGTGGACAACGGCGCTGGCCTGAGCAGATTCTCCAGAACCGCGATTTGGGGTTGCAATGTCCTCCCTCCAGCCGATTTTCCGCCCAGTCAGTACAAAACGCACACATACACTGCGTCAACACTCCTTTTGGCCTCGGCTCCCGCCGGGGAGACGAAGTATGCGGGGGGAGGGGACGGAAGATGGCGGCCGGACTGCGGGCGGCGCGGCTGTCACCCGCTCTTCGCTGGGCGCCGAGGCCTGGTAGTTACATTTCAATGTGGCCCACCAGAGCAGTGAGGGCATCTCCCCAGACCTAGAAACCCGACGAGGGGTGCTCCAGAGACCTCGGACGAATGGCGGGGGTCTGCGAAAGAGCGGGGCGATGCCCACCACTTGCTTGGGATCCGTCCCCTACCCTAAGATGGCTCCCGGCCGCTGTTTACCCAGAGATGGGGGCCAGCAGGGCGCTGGGCCGCGGAGGGGGCAAAGATCAGGGCGCGCACAGGGCGGCCTGCTTCTCGGAGTGGCCCGCTCGCGCCCCCCGCACGCTGCAGTTCGGAGAACAGGCGCAGCCAGGGACTGTCCTGTCCCGCCCTGCGGCTGGGAGCTGGGAACCGGGAGCCGCCGCCTCCGCGTCTCCAAGGCCCTGCGCCCGGGCCGGGCTCCGCGGGTGCGGGTGTAACTGTGAGCAGGGAGGACGCCGCAAGGGGGCTGGGGCTCACAAAGGCCGGGGTGGGGGTGCTGGAGGAGGGGGCCTCGCCGGCCCCGAACCGCGGCCCTAATGAAATGCAGGCTCGGTTCGCTACGCTGACTAGGCGCACACTTGGAAAATGCAAACGCCATTGGCAAATCCAGGGCAAACAGGCAGAATTTTTATTAGCAACTAAATGATTTATGGCACATATACCCCGCCGTCACAATTACGGCGTCTTGGAGCATCCAGGGGTGAAAACATTAAACATTTATAAAAATAGGCTTTTGTTATTTTCCACCCTGCAAACCCTTTGTATTCCCCACCCCAGCTCTCTCGATACGTTTTTTTTTTTTCCTTGAGCTCTATTAAAATAAAAACATTCCAGATCTAGGGCGGGGGTAACGCGGTGGGGGATCAAGGTCTGGGCTCCAAATATTGGAGGACAACCAGGGGGGTGGGGAAGCAATGGGGGCTTGGGCGTGGGAGGGTTTACTAGGAACCCACAAAGGCCTCTGGATAAAACTCGAGGACGCTCGGCGCCCACCGGGGCTGCGCCCCCCACGCACGCCCCTTCCTCTGCCTTGGCCCCCGGCAGCCCAGCGCAGCTCAACTGCGTTTATTTTATTTCTGTCACCCCCCTCCCCCAAGGCACACAGACACAATACCTCCTTTCTCTAACCCCCCTCTCCTCTCCGTCTTTGCTCCTGGCTGTCCGGGGCTGCACCGGGAGCCTCCCGCCGCCCCGTCCGCCACTGAGACCTGCGCGCCCTGCTCCAAGCGCGGACACCGCCGCCAGTTCCCCTCGGATCCGGCTATTTTCGTTCCTTTCTTTCCTTCTCACTCCTCCCTCCTCCCCCCGCGGAGCTCCAGCTTCCAAAAGAGGGCAGCCTAGAAACCAACGCAGGAGGCTTCAGGAAGGGCAACTTGAAACTGCCCTCAAGAGGCTCAACTTTTTTCCTCAAATTTATACTGGAATTAAATTAGACACCCCCAGTTCGCTCTCGAAGCCCACCCCATTTTTTTCCCTAAAAGTGGATAAAAGAAAATAGAACCGAGTGAGCGCTAACTGGCTCATTTTTAACCCCTCCAGAAAAGTTGCCTTGAAAACGGACTTAAAAAAATAGAACGAGCGATGCGAAAACGCTGAGTCCGCAGAGTGGGGCGAAAGAGCGGGCTCCTCTTGTTTTAATTAAAATCCAATCACCGCGGTGGTTCTCTGAGGCAGGATCCGCAAGGATTGCTACCCTTCCAAGCTTTCTTTTGAGGGTACGTAATGCCTAGCCGGGCATGGGTCCCTGCGGGGCTGCGGAGAGAGGGTGCGGGGCCCCGAGGGCGGCCGCACCGGCTGCGTCCGCACTCCTCGCGCCCGCAGCCAAGTAGGTTGCCGCGGGCAGCTCCCGGCGACTCAACCCAGAAAGGATTTTGCTGAAAGCGCAAAATAAGAAGTACAAAGTCTGGGGGATTGGGTCTCCCCTCCCCCTCCGGCCACCGCGGCCAGCCAAGCACTTTTTGGGCTTGGCTGGTGCTTCCTCTGAGCTCAACAGATTTTTTTTTCCCGGTCTCGCCCTCCCTCGAGGGGGCGCGGCGGATGGAAGGCGAGAGAGGCCCCCAGCCAAGAGATTTTTAATATTACACTTTAATAGGTTTCAGAAGGCCCCGTGGAGAAATGCTAATAGGCTGAAATGTCAGAATCGAGAGGGAGTCAGTTCGCGCTCAGCCGATCTAATCCTTTTTTCTGCTCTGATTTTTTTAAAAAAATTTTGGTGGGGGAAAGGGGTAGGGAGCGGGGAGGGGGGGAGGGAAGAGGTGGAGAGCGCCCACGCAAGAGGCTTTGGGGAGGGGCGCACGGTGCAAAGCGCCGCAGCTCCCGCCCGGGCCAAGCGGGGGGCGCGCCCCGGCCCGCGTTTCTATAGGAACCCCTTTTAGAAGATTAGAGACTCACCCGCTGCCCGCCGCCGAGGCCTCTCCAAAATATTAATCAGTAACCATCTGACACCGCATTTCAGGGAGGGACCCGCAGGCCGGGGATAGGAAAACGGCCTTCTCGCCTGCCCATCCCACCCAACCGCGCTGCTGGGGGAGAGGGAATGAATCGCTGCTTTGTTTTAAAAGGCGGTGTGGGGGGAAGGGGGGAGGAAAAAGCAGCCCTTGTCTGTTTTGGAGTCGCCACCGCGCGTTCTAGAAGGCGCGCCCCAGGGGAGGTGGGGGACCAGGGCCGGGCTCCGGGTGCAGCCCCCAGGCCCCTTCCCGGCTCGCTCGGCTTGTCACCTCCTCCTGCGCGCAGGAAGCTGACAGGCGGCCCATTAAACCGCGCCTTGCAAAGCCCTGGATTGCGGCGACAACCATCTTCCTCTATTTTGATCACTCAGCCCAGACGCTGGGGGAGGGGGAAGGAAAAGGGAGGAGAAGGAGGAAGGAGGGGGGGGGCCGAGCTGGTGGAGGGGGAGGGCTGCCTAGAAACGGCCCGGAAAAATTCTCACCACCAGTTTTGATCATTCAGCCCCGCCGAGGGGAGCCTGGAAACTGCTGGAGCCCCTCCGTCCGTAATTGGTTTTATAGGAATGGCTGAGCGCCAAGGTGTTTACATGCGCGTGATTGGCGGCACGCGCGGCCAATGGGTGGCAGCCGGGGGCCGGCCTGCCGAGGGGAGGCGGGCACCAGGGAACAATGCGTGTTTCTTCGGCGGAGAGTGCTCCCCTCCCCCAGCCGCCCCCT